CTTTCTTTGTCCAATTTCACAATAAATACAACTAAAATATCCACCGTGTCAGTTGATTTGATTTTTTTGGTTTTTGATTTAATTTCAAGTATAAGCTGAAGAATGAGCTGTTGCCACATTTCTAAAGAAGTTAAACGATGGAATTTGAGCTGTATGTTAAATAACACGGTCTATCCACAAATATGTGAACAAATTGTTACATCACCAATAGACAAGCACAACTATTCATATTTGTGAAGAGCTGAACAGTTAACATGTATTTTGGGGCCTTTGAGAAAATTTTTTAATCAACTGACAGTCACACATGAGACATGAGGTGGCTCAAAGTATTTGAATCTACAATAAAGAATAAATGATGCTCCCAGTGTTACATCATGGCCTCAAACAGACAGTCCCTGTATTACAAGTGGTAAGTTCCTTCATGAACATCTCATTAGCTTGGCTATGTACAAACACACCCAAGTGCTGCTTCAATAACAGTAGAGACGCCCTCAGGGTGCAGGCGATGCAAAATCAAGGCTGTGACTTCTAGGAAAACAAATCGCTTTCTGAATACCTCTCATTGTCAGACATCATGTAATCTCAGACAGTTGACAGGCCTCCCAAGAAGAAATGTCAACGGTGAGAACCCAACTTCCAGATTCCGATTGCCTGTTTCTTAGAGCCTGGGCCGACGTTTTTCATCTGAACTGGAGATGACCCAGTAATCTCCGAAGAATTCAAGTCTGACATGTTGTGGAGACACATCACTGCACGCCATCTCTGGCGTTGCTTTGAAACAGGCGGGCCTCGCGAGGTGCGCCGATCTGAAGCGACTCTGCTGTTGCAGCGATGCGTCACTTCTGTTCAAATACAGTGTAACTGATTGCACCCGAGGGCACACCTGGAAGCAATATTCTAATTACGTTAATCTGTGAAATCCTGACAATGTGGGTGTTCAGGTGGCTGCTAATCTGATGTGAAAGGACGCTTTGTTTTCATTGGAAAGATACGGGAGGAGCTGGCACCTGTTTCAGCAAAAACGCTGCAGAAAATTATCGCTGTCGAGTTCTCCTGAGTGCGGGCAATTACAAATGACAGTGTTTGTCTTCCTCCTCATGGAACCCAATCTTTTTTCTCTCCCTCTCTCTCTCTACCTATAGTGATGGCCTGTCAGAGCATTTCTCCCCAGTCCTCTTGTTTCCTCCGCAATTTGATATGGATGATTCGTAACTCTCATCACCTTCATTATGATAATATGTGTTTCAGAGGAAATGAAAAGGTCAATGCTGCTTTAGCCTTTATCCAGATGTTCTTTTTCCATCTCTCTTTCTGCAACGCGTGCAGCAGTTTTCAAAAATTCCACAACAGTGAAAGTTGTTTTGGAATCATGCTGTTGTTCAGTCCTGTTTCCTGTCGGCCACGAATGAAAGCTTTTCTTTGTTCAATATCTCTCCTCCTGGGAGCGAAGCAAAACCATCATTATAACAATAGAAAATATTAATACTTACCGTTGTGCATCTATTTTTACTTTGATAATAATCTGTCAAATAGGGCGTTCACATATTATTTGACTGTTGACGTGTTGCTATGTCAGGTGTGGCACTGTTTCTGATTGCTTTATGCAACGATGTTATTTTGAAAGGGATATCATATTGGCTGCTTTGTACTGCCTTTCATAATATTTCAAAATAGAGTTCTCAATCAGTTATTTAAAGGGTTTTCTGCAGTCTTCTCGGATTTTACAATCTTTGTGTGTGTTTGCATTGAGGTTTTTATATTCCAGTGTTTGTGTCTTGTCACATGCTGCTCTGGTGATTTGAAGATAGCAGCAAACTAAGAGGAATATTTGGTACTATACAGTATTTATTTTCTATGTTAGTTCTGTAGTTAGGTTGTCTTAAAGGCCTGTTCAAGACTGATCTTTGGAACGTTAGAGTTTAAAATGGAAACAAAGAACTGAGAGCAAAGCTTGAAGAGACAAAAAAAAATCTAAGTAAAGGATGAAGGAGGGAAAACAGTTTTACACACTCAAGCTAACAAAACAGATTCTATGGCTGTAGCCTTGGTTACATCTTTCTTGTTAATGTCCGCACAATGATGTCCAGACTTTCTCTGCAGTTTAATTTTCACATTGAAGCTTGCTTTCACAACAACAGAGAACTCTCTTGATTGTTCAGGAAGGGGTGTTGCAGCAGGCGGAGGCAGGATGTTATTATTAATTCCACTGCAGAGATCACATGTTTTTGTTTACAGCACATTGACACCGACATCGGCCCGCATCACCAAAATCTCTCAAATCTTGGTGTCTTTCCAAATAGACATCTTCCGGTCTATGGCACCTCTTTTTCAATCTGACACGTCTGTTTTCAGTTTTGTGTCTGTCGCATGTTAGAAACTTCATCAGCACGCCCACTCCCTGGCAGTGAATCCCCTGCATTATCTTCTACTGTATTCTCACATGGGCTCACTCTGACATTTTCGGAACATTTTAATAGGTAGGAGAAACTCTGGAGAATGTCCACAGCAACTGACTTGGACATTTGTTAGGACATTATCCAGAGTTCAATACATGTCTGAAAGCAGTTTTGGTGATCGCCTTTTTTTTTATATCTATGTTTTTGGAATACACATCAATGGTTTAAGCGTCCAGTATTATAAATAGCTCACTTAAAGTTCACTGAGTATGTTTCCCTCAGCGTCAATGCATAGTAACATGGAATAGAAGTGTGGTCAGTAACATGACCTTGGTATTTTTCATTTATTACATATACTGCAATAACTCTCATGAACCAGTCATAGATTTACAACGTAAAGCTTGTGTTTGACAAGTAAAAAAAACACTTCAGGACTTAAGTGTGTGAGAGGAGAAGGGTCTCAATAGACATCTGGCTCTTGACAGAAGGCTGTGTAATAATTGGTACAAAATTCAACAAACATCTGAAAACTTGGCAGTAACGTCTAATAGTCCACCATGTCTTGAACTATATCCCAGTCCACCCAAACAGCCAAATATAGCTGCTGCCAAGCCCCAAATATGGAGCTGTTTTACTGAAGAGAGTGAAGCTAACACCTCAACAACGTCTCCACTAAACGGCCAACGGATTGCTTGTTTTGTTTCTCTCATGTGTCTTTTAGATGTGTTGTTTAGTGTTGAAGTAACAAACCTTTACACATTAAATGTCATAATTTATGACATTTTATAGAACTGTTACAAGGTGCTAGTAACTAATGGATCAGGAAGGAAAACAAGGCCCTGCGAAAGAAACACTGCGCGAGCTTCCCTCTTACTTTCCTTCCCTCTCTACCCCCCACAGTGATGCCAGGGAGCCGCATGGTGACTGACAGGCCCGCTACGGCTCTCTGTCGTGTCAGCTAGCTAGCGCCCTCGGTTCCTTCCCGCTTCAATGAAGAGATTAAAGCCTATTGACTTGCCAGGCTACAGTTAATGCAAATTGGGCCTGCTATCAATGTATTATTTATAGGGAAGAGCAGCAGACATTTCCACAGAACTGGGAGCTAAGCTTACAGGAGATTAGGCATGCTATCTCATTCATTTACCAGGGAGTAATTGCTAAACTGTGGAGGAATTAGGAAATGGTTCCCCGAAGGCGTTTCATCTTGTAACCAGGTGGCTGCCATCAGCCAACCACCTCCAAGTCTGTGATAAACAAACACACAGAGGTGAAACTGATAGACTACATCTGTCCAATTGTCAAAAGCTTAACTCCTGAAGACAGCACGGGTAGGACATAAAACACTGTTATGCTTTTTTTTCTGAAGCACAACAAGGTGCTGGTGCAACCTGCAGTTCTCATTTACCATGTCCACTGATGACTTCTGAGGAAACATTAAGATTACACTCAATCACATTTAGCCACTGAGTAAAACTAAGAAATGCTTTCAAAGCCCATAGACCTCAAAGACTGATTCTCAGTTACTTCATCTCAGCCAGAACGGAAACAGCACAAGTGAGCAGCTGTCCCTTCTGGTTTCCATCTCTGATTAGGTTAAACTTGTAGAACCGTGTTGTAAAACACTTTCTAATCAACTTTGTTTAACAACTGGCTGTGTTTTCAAGATTTTACCTTCATTTTCAAACAGGAACGTGTTTCAGTGACTGAAACATAATCATCATCGCAAAACATTAAAATAATGATACTAAAACTAGATACAGTATTGCTGTCTAGTATGTGACAGAAGCAAACAGATACATTCAATTAAATACACAAGCATGCACACATGCACAGACAAATTATCCACATGGGATCTCTGCATCAGTAATAATCCTTGTCCATACAAACACACCTGAAAACGTAGGTCACCTGACCATTCATGTACACTAAGCATGTGCATGACAGTGCACAGTGCAGACAGGTCTGTTCTGCAGAGGGATTGTTTAGTTCCATACAAATACTACAAATGAGAGCTGAGAAACAATGGTGAAAAGTAAGATGAGGAATTCATTTGCTTGGACCGACAATGAGGTGGAACTATAACAGTTAACGTTTTGCATTGACCAATGGTAGTCATGACTTATAAGAACCAGTCATGGGGTGAATACACACTTTTCAAACTAAATCGGGGCCAACAGCGTTTCCAAACTTCTCCGATTTTGGCACTCATAAACACAGAGGAGTTTTAAAACTGAAACCTGGTGGTGTGGCTGTAGCCTAAAGCTCTGTTTGTTGCGATCAAGGCTACAAAGCAGATTTAAGACATATTCACACATAAAATGTTCCAAAAATAATAGGTGACATGTTGCTTTATCTTTTCATGCGGCAAAACAAAAAACTGAAAAACCAGCTTCTACCTGTACCACATTTTCCTTGTCACTTTCTTTCTCCGGAAGATGCAAATGATCAGGACGGCGAGAGTGTCTTTTACCCCTCGTCTTTTTTTTCCCTTTTAACAGCACACTATGACTGTCTCCCTCCTTTAGTCGGGAGCTCAAATTTGTTATTCACAACTCTCAGCCACTTCATGTGGTGGGTGAATAAACACAGGAAAAGCAGCCTTACCTTGTCGTCAATGTCACTCTCGCTGTCACACTGTAACAGAAAAGAAACAGACACGGCAAATATAAGGAATTATTCATTTGCCCCCTCCATCTCACACACACACACACACACACACACACACACACACACACNCACACACACACACACACACACACACACACACACACACACACACACACACACACACACACACACACACACACACACACACACACACACAGAGTAGCTCATAATCAGTGCAGATGTTATTTTTGTGTGCAACCGCTCATTCACTGACAGCTTTCAGTGCAAACGGCACAGGATGAAGAGGGAAAGGAGAGTGTGGTAGTCTAAGAGAGTTTTTCAAGTTTCAAAAGCAGCACACAGCCGCTCAGAATGCCATTCTGGTCTTTCTGTCGCAAATTCAATGCTACAAATTTATAAAAGATGAGAAAACGAATAATACTATACACTGGATATATTATAAAGAGCCTATTCAATGACTTTGTATTCAGCTGGAGCTTGTCATTTAGCCTTTTAAGGGTGCTTTAAAATTGGACGATAGTATCTCAAGGACACTGAGAGCTTAGTCTATTTGAATACTCAACACAGTGCCTATTAAGCGTGGTATTTCAAATCCGCCTTCTGACAAACTACTCTTTAATTTGTATGTCAGACTTTTGCAGGGATAAAGGAAACAAATAACAAGAGAGTGTGTGCTGGAATATGCCTTGTCTCATGCGATCAAAGGCCAAATCACCCTGTATTCAGTCAAGAAGTGAAATGGTTATTTTCTTTAACACTTCAAATTTCACAAGTCACAGTACAGAGCGATCAGGCTCAAATATCTTAAGAGGAGGTGCAGCGCTTAGAAAAAGAGAATAAAGTCAGACCTTGTAACTAACAAACAGATGATGGGAATACTGCAGATACCGAGGGCCACAGCCTTTCAGAAATATCTTTTTAGAGAATAATAGAAAAAAAAATGATTACACTCACACATACTGGAAATTACATTCACTTCTAGTCTAAAAGAATGTGTGAAGTCAAGGTAAATTCAATAACACTGCAGGCCTGGAGTCCTTGATTGACTTTTTTAGTCTTTATGAATAAAGGTGAAATACTGTTACTTTTATATTTATTGCACACATCGCTGCATTCCTTCACTTAAATCCGACTCATGACGTCTTTGCTTCCGTTTCTCACAATTCACTTGGCTGGTAACTCTCCCCCTGCGAGACAGTAGATGGTGAAGTTGTGGAAACAGGAGTGGACCAACTGTGGGCCAGTCCCTCTGGACCTCCCAGCAGGATGCATGAGTTGTAGAACAATTCAAGCGAAGAGCCACATAGAGAGGGAGAGGCCCCTGGTGAAAAAACTGCCTTCAATCTGTCAATTAAGTCCCTGTGGCAACATATTTAAGTGGACCCTCTTTATTTTGTTTGACTCCCTTTCAGAGCTGGGCACAATGAAAAGGGAGCTGGGTCAATGGAGGCACAGCGGCCCTTTGTTGCAAGTGCAGTGAGTCCAAATGTATAATTAAGTAACGAGAGTAATCAGTGCAAGGGCTCAGTGGCAAAGTTCTCTCAGGAGAGTGAAAGGAGGGGGGAGCTTCCGTGCACAATGATTCATCCCAGTCCGCAGAGACAAGGGATACAGCAGGAGTCCTCCATGGCAGAAACGTCTGACTAAAAACGCCCTGACTGGACCCCTTAGGGGGGTTTATTGTTGTGTTTGCATCTTTATCTGCAAAATAAGAAGAAGAAATGTCTGAGCTCCCACTGTTCATACTGAAGCAGTCTTACACTAGACAAAGAACAAGAATATGCACCTGTCGCAAGAAGAATACTTTAAAAATGAGGCTCGATGTGAGGCTTTCTACTGGCTGAAGAAACAGATATGCACTGAAGTCCGGATAATGTCTCGAAAATATCCTGGAAGGCTGTATGTGACAACGTAAATTTCCAAGTCAATTGCTGCAGAAATTTAGTTTAGAGTTTCTCCTGCCAGCTCCCAAGTAAAAACTCTGGATAATGTCCGAGTGAGCCCATGTGACATCACAGCAGGAGATTCTCCGGAGGATTCACCGCGAGCGAAAGAAAGCAAGAGTCAATAAGGGTCAATAAACTCAACATAAAAATGTAAACAATATGTCTTGCACCATTCTTAATATCCAAAAAGCCTGTGAATGTGTGAATATCATTTAATGTGTGGCTATGTAAGAAATGTTAGAAATACAATACTACTTTAAAGTGTTTTCTTATTTCCATATTTATAAAAAAATATTTGGCCAATGGTAGGTTTATGACAAAAAATAATGAAAGGAGAAAATAAAACTCATGTTGTTGAACTGCAAGTAAATACCCACATGCACTCGGAATGGAAAATTAGAAATATCGGCCAAGCAACATGTCTCTTTTCTTCTGGGGAATGTTTGCAAACCCTAATTTCTGGGATTTCGCTTGTCAAAAGACCTTCATTACAGAGTGCAGGGCATTAAGAAGAGAAAGTGGCTTAGGCGTCTTGTCAATCAATTCGCCATTCACGCTGCAAAGCCTGGACAAATTAATTGTCAGCCATTTCTATAGTGCTTGTTAAGGCCACATCACAACCTGTAATCACCACCCATTTCTTCCCTTACCACTCTGGCATTTTATCTGAAAGGAATCACAATCAACATAACGTTTCTCTCCATCTGGACCCATCTACAATCGACAAAAAAAGGGAAAATTGATCCAATCTCCAACTTCGCCCTGCCCCCAGGAAACTGGTGTAAATGTATTGTTAGCATGCGGCTGAACGGATGACAGCGGGTCACAGCGGTAGTGAGCTCCTCTCTATTACTTGGGACGAGTTTAAACCCCAGGTGATGGAGATGAACAACTGGCTCGCTCTATTCCCCGGGTGCAAGCTTGGCCTTGTTGTTGTAGCAGTAACCATGACACAAGAGATGAGGCCTCACAAGGCTGGAGCTGGCGAGGAGGAAAAATAATATCAAAAGAGCACAGCATGGTGCTTATCCTTTTACAAGAAGCATACACTGCAGCGGAGCATAAAGAGGAATACTAGCTATGGCTCAGACAGAGAAAGACACAGCACAGCAGGGGGGAGAGAGGCAGGTGGAAAGGGGGAACAAAACAACAGAAAGAAAAGATGGGGGGGATGCTATAGAGATGAGGGGATGGATGGATGTAAATGGTGTTAGAGCAGGTTTTGTCAGTAATGTAGGTGACTGCCCTGTTGGGCTATTACACTTGGCTGAGTCAAAGAAAGGAATAGAATGAACCTATGAAAATACAAGATTGGAAGAGTGCTTGGGTGAGATAGGAGGACCACGCCACTTAGCACCCAATGCTTCTGCAAATATGTACACCAGGGTAAAGGCTCTCAGCGAGCCAATACAAGAAAACCAAGTGGTGAATATCAAACCCCATCCCTAAACTGAAACCTCCCTACACAGCAGCCTGGTGGTCAGAGGGGACATTGTTAAAATCGTAGAGATACGCTCTCACTAAGCAGCCTGACAGCAGCCAAGCCCCTTGTGGTTTGTGTCTCATAGATGTTCACAAACCCAAAAAAAGAAAAACTGCCTGGCTCTTCAGAGGCAGGGAGCAAGCAGCAACATCTGCACCTGGCAACCGCCAGCTACGAAGGGTAACAGGGGACCAGCTTCAGCGAATGGCTCCGCAACCCTCCCTCCTAGCTCCCCCACCCTCTCTCCGAACCCTCCTCCCCTAGCACATCAGACAGATGCGTTTGACATTTACATAGCTTTCAACACTTCAGAGACAGGAGATTTACTCCAGCGGTGGTCCTGGCAGGAGCTGGGCCTCGACCTGGGCTGGCCCCCTCGACGACCCTGTAGCTTAGCCCTGAAATGAGGCAGGGCTGAGCAGTGAGGAGGAAGAGGTGGAAAAAGACCCAACACAGTGGGAGGGAGGAATGGATGTCTCGATTCTCCTAGATTTTTTCTCTGGTAGATTCTGATAGACGTGCAAGGGGAAGACAATAAGCGTTGTGCATCCCGGAGCACATTAAAACGACTAGCCAAATTAATCACACAGTTCCACTTGTCAAACGCGGAGGACAGTCTGCCATGAATTCTCCCGGAGAGATAGAGAGAGGGACCGAGGAGGAACTTGCCCAGCTACGTTAATGCTGGCATGGCGTCAACGACTGTCTGTATGAATACTGATCACAAACCTGTACTTGCTGCAAGAAATCTGGAGTAAAGAAAAGTATGTCACTGTCAGCTTCTTCTCAAAATAAACTAAGAAAATGAAAAAGATGAGAAAATATAAGTATATAACATTTGTGTTCTGACAAAATAATTTGAGAAAGAAGAATTTTATCAGTCATTCTAAATTGTGAAGTCACCAGATTACATTTTAACATTTTGGATATAGCTTTTACACCATGATATATGAATCATATCAAAATTGTACCAGTGATTAAATGCCGTTAATCAAAATGTTAAGTGGGAGTAAAAATAAACACTGAATAAAAAACTGAAAATTGGCCACAAAAAACAGTGAGACTGCAGCTGCTTTACTTAATCCCTTGTCCAAGCGAATATGGTGTCAGACCAATAATGCAAAAACTTCCTACTGAGGGGGGAGAAATGGCTTCAGTTTAGAAGACATCCCTTGGGGGACGTAGACTGAGATACCCCTGATGGTAAGGGAGAAAGCACTGACAACCCCAGATCTCCTAGTGCGAGCGCACACAGAGGGGGTAATGGTCCATTTAGATAGTCGAGGACCAAAGCGGTGTCAGCTACAAGTGGAACAACACCAATTTCCTCCTCCAATTTCCCTCCTGCAGAGGCTGGGATGAGGTGCGGGGACGTAAGTGCTGTGGCCACTCTGATGGGGCGTGGAAGCAGAGCCTCGGGTCCACTGGGGACCTGCTGTCGGGCCCTGAAACATCAGAAGGATACCTGAAGTTCCCCTTGGCCTTGTGGTGAAAGCTGAAGTTAAGGCTTTCATAATATATCAATTAGGTAGATGGTTAGTTGCGTCCTCTTATGTTTTCATTCTTCCCGAAACAAA